CTGGTCTCCCCCAGACTCCACTCGCATGCACCTTTTCCCTCTGCTCATGTTGACTTTTGTTCTTTCCCTGGAAGCTGCAGTTTTCTGAGCCTTCTTAGGGAATCATCAGACCTGAGGGTGGTCTTGACAGTCCCCCACAATAGTTGTGCAGAAAATCCTAAGAAGTCTACAGAAAAGCTACCAGAACTAATAAGTGAATTTAGTGAGGTTGCAGGATACAAGGTCCATATCAAAAATCTAGTTTATTTCTATTCTTGCAAAAAAGGAATCATATCAATTTTTTGATAACATTTACTGTGTCAAAAACAGCAGACTTAGAATGAAATTTTAATTAAAAATATGGAAGACTTACTGTATTTTGGAAACCACAAATTATTTCTGAGAGAAATTAAAGAAGAGCTAAATAAATAAATAGGTGTGCCATATTTACATATTGGTGATGTGTTTACATACTGGTTACATATCAGACTGGTGATACAGCACCATTTCAACCAAGTGAGAAATGAAGAATATTTTCAATGAAAAAATTAGCAGTTAAAAAATCAATAAAAATTTTTGAGTCATATAGATACCCAAATGGAGAAAAATGAATTTTGACTCCAACTCGTATCATTTACAAAACTGAAATGGATTATTAATCTAAATGGAAAAAGCAAACCCATAAAATCTTTAAAAATATATGTAAGAAAAGGATCTTGGTTAGGCAAAGATTTTTAAACAGGATGATAAAAAGCACTAACCACAAAAGAAAAGGAAAAAAAAGTGGACATTGATGAAATTAGAACTTCTCTTCATCAAAAGAAAATGCTACGAGAATGAAAAGGCAATTCACCAAGAGGGGGAAGTTATTTGCAATGACACTTCCGTCCCCTGGAGGACTCACATCCACATTATATTATGATGGTGCAAAAGTAATTGTGGCTTTTGCTATTTCAGTGACAAGAACTGCAGCTACTTTGTCACCAACTTAATATAAGAGGTTCTGGCTGGGCGCGGTGGCTCAAGCCTGTAATCCCAGCACTTTGGGAGGCCGAGACAGGCGGATCACGAGGTCAGGAGATTGAGACCATCCTGGCTAACCCGGTGAAACCCCATCTCTACTAAAAAATACAAAAAACTAGCTGGGCGAGGTGGCGGGTGCCTGTAGTCCCAGCTACTCGGGAGGCTGAGGCAGGAGAATGGCGTGAACCTGGGAGGCAGAGCTTGCAGTGAGCTGAGATCCGGCCACTGCACTCCAGCCTGGGCGACAGAGCGAGACTCCATCTCAAAAAAAAAAAAAAAAAAAAAAAAAAAAAAAAAATATATATATATATATATATATATATATAAATAAAAATAAAAGAGGTTCTTACAAATCATGGAGAAAATGACTGGCACCCTGATGCTTTTAAGGTGAGAAAGAGGCTTTGACAAAATGACTAATGTAAGTGAAAATATGCTCAACATCATTAGTTATCGGGTAAATGCAAATTAAAACCACCAGGAGCTACTGCATCTTCACCAGAATGGCAAAGAAAAGGGCTGAGAAGCCTATCTGTTGTAGAGATGTGTTCTCCAGTTGCTGATGGGGTGCACATGGGAACAACTCCTTGGGGAGATTGTTTGGCAGCGTCTCTTACAGCCAAGTGTTCATGTACCCTATGAGCCAACAACCCTACTCCTGGGAGTATTCCCAGGGATGCAACCTTCATGCTCACCAGAAGACACATGCAAGAACATTCATAGTGGCATTATTTGTAAATAGTTAAAAAAAGAAACAGTTGGCAACAGCCCAAATATCAATCAGCAGTAGAATGAATAATTTGAAGTACAGCCACACAATGGAAAAATGCATGGCAACTGAAAGAAACCAAGAAAGCAGCAATGGCTACGCCCAGCAGCATGGCTGAGTCTGCACATGGGACGTTGAGCGAAGGAAGCAGACCCAAGACTGTGCACCACGTGAGTCCCTCTATATGGTGGCCAAGGGCGGGAAGGACTTACTATCATAATTAGAGACAGAAGCATGGTTACCTCCAGGGACCATGGAACTGGGTGGGGTAACCTAGCTGGAAGGGAACAGGGTGCTGCCTTAAGGACACATGAAATATTCTAGGCTTTGGTCCAATTACTCAGGAGTAGGCAAATGTGAGTCATCCCTCTGCACCTGAAATGAATGCATTTCATGTCTGTAGATGATATCTTTTCACTAGGAAAGGAAGAAAGCCAGGCAGTTCATGCAAATGCACCTGCAGAGGATGAGGCTGGGCTGGGACCAGAAACACAGGTGTGGACAGGGGCCTGCAACAGGAAAGCTGTAAGGGGGTCTCCTGGAGGGAGGTGCTGTTGGGAGGGCAGTGGCTGCAGTGGCTTTTTATAGAGACCCTGTGGATGCAGAAGGAGCTGATGGGGGACAGAGCCCCTGAGCAAATGACAAAAGTGGGAGCTTGGAAACCCAGGCCCCTGGTGATGACCAGCATTTACTGCCCCCTGACCAAAGGCAAGGCCCTCATCTCAGTCCTTGCTGTACAGTGACTCAGACTCCCTGAGCTAGGTAGGCGTCACACTTGACATTGCTCCCACTTAACAAGGGGGGAACAGCAGTGCCAGGTCTCAATTTTGTCCAGTTCACAGCAAGTGCAGAGCCAACATCCTTATTGCCCAGCAGTAGGGTCCTCATGCTTAAGCATGAAGCTGTAAGTTCTGTCTCCCACCACACTCTTTCCTTTCTTTTTTTTATTTTTGAGACGGAGTCTTAGTCTGTCACCCAGGCTGGAGTGCAATGGCATGATCTTGGCTCACTGCAACCTCCACCTCCCTGGTTCAGGTGATTCTCCTGCCACAGCCTCCCAAGTAGCTGGGACTACAGGTGCACGCCACCACACCAGGTTATATTTTTTATTCTTATTTTTTAGTAGAGATTGAGTTTCTCCATGTTGGCCAGGCTGGTCTTGAACTCCTGACCTCAGATACTCTGCCCGCCTCAGCCTTGGCCTCAAACTCCTGGGCTCAAGGGATCCTCCTGCCTCAGCCTCCTGAGTAGCTTGGACTACAGGTGTGTGCCACCACACTCAGATAACTTTTTAATTTTTTGTAGAATCAGGGTTTTGCTATGTTGCCCAGGCTGGTCTTGAATTCCTGGCTTCAAGGGATTCTCCTGCTTTGGCCTCCCAAAGTGCTGGGATTACAGAAGTGAACCACAGCACCCAGCCCACACTCGTGCTTATAGCCTTCTGTCTCTTTTTTTTCTGATAGAATTCTAACAGTGCCAAAGCTCTGTCCTCCAGACCCTTAGAATCTAGAGCAGCAAATTTGGAGGAAAAAGGGGGTTTCCCAGTTAAGTCCGGGTGATAACAGTCAACATCTGGTTGGCCATCACGTGATGTTTATGGAGGTGGCATTAGGAACTGGCCCCTGACATATGGAAGTGAGGATGTTAAAGTCCACTACTCCAGCAGGCTGTGGTGGCGGGCACCCATCGGCCCAGCTACTGGGGAGGCTGAGGCAGGAGAATCGCTTGAGGCCAGGAGTTTGTGTACGGCCTGGGCAACGTAGCAAAATTCCATCTCAAATTTGTTTTCACGTGAATGACTCCACGGAGGCCCCCTGCGTTCACCTCCCAACGGGCAGAGACAGTGCCATCATGCCTGTCAGTCGGGCTTCAGCAGTCCTAACTACCTTCTGTTTGCACAGCCTCAATCGTCTCGTTGAAATGCGCAGCATCTCCACGCTGAGCTGCCCCGTGTCCTTCCACAGCTGCCTGGTACTATCGTTTCAGCCCAGGTGAATGTCCCGCCCACATAGGTGAGCTGCACCTTCCTCTGCCCTTACCTTGTCCCAGCCAGACGACCTGGACCCTCCTGCCTGCTCCACGTGTGCGGCTACCGCTCCTGTATCCCCAAGAGACCTCCCAGGCCTCCCCTGCTCAGAGCTGAGGGCAGGGATGCCCCATACTTTGAGCTCTCTCTTCAGCCTCCCAGTTTCTCAACCATCCGGGCAAAAGTCTTAGGGCCTCCGTTGTCCTTGGCAGGACAGATCCCTGGAAGGTCACACACTCCAAAACAACCAAAAGGATAGATATAGATAAAGGAGAAACAAGAGCATAAAAGCAAAAAGGTAATATTCTGGGGCCACCGCTGCCAGGGGCTGATGCCCGCACAGGGCGGGGCCCCTGAGGTCATGGCTGTGTTGCAGCACAGAGCCATTGTTGTGCATGATGATGGCCTGAGCCACCCAGAAGAGGCCACCTGACACCCAGCATCCCTGCTCAGGAAGGCAGGAAGGTTTGTAACGCCCTTTAGAGATCTTGGTGCATTTAAAAACATCCTGCTCGGCCAGGTGCGGTGGCTCAAGCCTGTAATCCCAGCACTTTGGGAGGCCGAGGCGGGCGGATCATGAGGTCAGGAGATCGAGATCATCCTGGCTGACATGGTGAAACCCTGTCTCTACTAAAAAAAAAAAAAAAAAAAAATAGCTGGGCGTGGTGGCAGGCGCCTGTAGTCCGAGCTACTCGGTAGCCTGAGGCAGGAGAATGGCGTGAACCCGAGAGGCGGAGCTTGCAATGAGCCGAGATCGCGCGTGAACCCGGGAGGCGGAGCTTGCAATGAGCCGAGATCGCGCGTGAATCCGGGAGGCGGAGCTTGCAGTGAGCCGAGGTCACAGCGCTACCGCCCTCCAGCCTGGGCGACGAAGCAAGACTCCACCGTCTCAACAAACAAACAAACAAACATCCTGCTCTACCTAGTTTTTTGTTAACCGGATTATTCGGTGATATGGAACAATCCATTCTCTAATGAAAAGAGCACAAGGGTTGTGGGTGGGTTGCATTATAGATGATTTTCAAGCAGTTCTTTGTTTCAGTAGCTCTGGTTTGGCCTGGATGTTTTCACTGTTCAAGTCTTTCAGAATCTTTTTTCTTTTTTTTTAATTTTTAAATAGGAAGTGAGAACATCCCCGAGCAAGACCAACAATTGCTGAATAAACACAAACACCCTTGAGAATCACTCCGACAGGTGCTGCCTCTTCACCTGGGGATTGCAAAGGTGAGAGGGGAGGTGAGTGCCTCCCGGTGTTTGGAGAATCATATGAGGGTGTGCTCTGGGAGTTTTAAGTTTCTCAAGAGTGAAAGTTTGCGGTTTTAGGTTTTCTCTTGATGCTACTTTTTACCACTTCCTCCGTCTACTAAGAAGGGTTTCCTTGTAGGTGAAAATGGAACCAAATTAGTTCTGTGATCTTGTTCTATTCTAAAAGCACCTGGAATTCAGTAATTTCTATGGGCTTGTGCTCAAAAGCAGGCTGCGAAGTCCTGGAGTCGGGGGTCCTGGTAGAACCCTCAGGAGAGGGCTGGGTTTCTGTAACGTGGCTAACATAGACCAGCAAGGCCACATTTAAACCAAGGTTTTTTTTTTTTAAAAATTTTAATTTTAAGCTCCTGGGTATGTGTGCAGGACGTGCAGGTTTGTTACTTAGGGAAACGTGTGCCATGGTGGTTTGTTGCACCTATCAACCCATCACCTTGTTATTAAGCCCAGGTGCATTAGCTATTTGTCCTGATGCTCTCCCTTCCCCCACCCCACCCCCGATAGGCACCAGTGTGTGATGTTCCCCTCCTTGTGTCCGTGTGTTCTCGTTGTTCAGCTCCCACTGATAAGTGAGAACATGTAGTGTGTGGTTTTCTGTTCCTGTGTTGGTTTGCTGAGGATAATGGCTTCCAGCTCCATCCATGTCCCTGCAGAGGATGTGATCTCATTCCTTTTTGTGGCTGTGTAGTACTCCATGGTGTATATGTACCACATTTTCTTTATCTGGATATGTTTATTAAGGGGAAGACCCAACCATGCATTGTGTGTGGCCACCTGGTAAATGAAAAGTAGGTTGGGATTTTCTTCCAAATATATATATGGGTATGTATATGTGTGTGTATATATATGTGTGTGTGTATATATATTTGTGTGTATATATATGTACATGGGTAAATTGCATGTCACAGGGGCTTGGGGTACAGATTTTTCCATCATCCGGGTAATAAGCCTAGTACTCAATCGGTAGTTTTTTGAGCCTCACCCTCCTGCCGTCCTTCACCCTCAAGGGGGCCCCATCCTCTATTGTTCTCCTTTGTGTCCGTGTGTACTCCGTGCTTAGCTCCCACTTATAAGTGAGAACATGTGGTATTTGACTTTCTGTTCGTGCATATATACACACACACACACACACACATACATGTTTCAGTAGCTCTGGTTTGGCCCAGATGTTTTCACTGTTTAAGTCTTTCAGAATCTTTTTTTTTTAAATTTTTAAACAGGAAGTGAGAACATCCCCAAGCAAGACCAACAATTGCTGAATAAACACAAACCCCCTTGAGAATCACGCCAACAGGTGCTGGCTCTTTACCTGGGGATTGCAAAGGTAAGAGGGGAGGCGAGTGCCTCCCTGGTGTTTGGAGAATCATATGGGGGTGTGCTCCCTTTATAATTTATAAAAATAAAATATATATATTATTTCCAAATATATGTATTTCGAATATATTTCAAAATATATTTCAAAAATGTTTGAAATATATATATTTGAAAAAAATATATATTTTAATTATATATTACATAGTTTAATAAAAAATACATATAAATAAAAATATATATATATTTGAAATTCACAAACATTTGCATTTCTCACCAGCCGGTTACCACTGCTGGAAGTGAGGTGGCCTCCAGTCAAGGTCTAGGGACTTGACCTGGCTTGATCTGGCTCCACTCCCACTGCTCGATTTAGACTCTGCCCAGACAAACAGCGAGAGTATAGCCAGATCCAGATCTCACCAACACACTCCTTCCTCCCCCGTCCTACCAGGCTGGAATTCACTGTCAATATCCTCCATAGAAGACACAGTTGGCTTCCAACAGCATCAGGGGATACAGGCAAAGGGGGTGATGGGGCCTGAGATAAGTTTCAGTTCAGCATAGAGGGGGCATCTGTGCCCAAATGACCAACTGGTCATTGGTAACTGGTATGACTTACTGTTCTCACTGAAAATACTACAGCTCTCCAAATTTGAAAATAACATCAAGAATCTTTTCTGACCAGAATAATGTCTGGCGCGTAGTAGGTATGCAACCGTTTTGGGATGGATGAATGGAAAATCAAATCCTAAGAGGAAGCTTCCTTCCAGGCTGGTCGTACATCCTTGTCATAGGTGTCTCCGTTGAAACGCTCACCCAGGAGTGGGCAAACTGATTCTGGAAAGGGCCAGGGAGTAAATATTTGGGGCTTTGTAGGCCATGAGGTCTCTGCTGCAGTTACTCACCTCTGCCATTGCAGTGAGAAAGCAACCGCCGACAATAAACACAGAATCAAATCAGTATGTTCCAACACAACTTTATTTACTAAAGCAGTCGGTGGGCAGATTTGGCCTGCGGGCCACAGTTTGCCAACCCCTGTGCTACACACGCTCACCGTTCCTACAGGACAGCGACTGCGTCCCCCATCCCCTTAGGATCCAGAACTAGATGTTTTAATTAAGTACATATGTATTAAAACTGCCTCTCCCTTTTACGATTCTGTTTTAAGAACTTTAAAAAATGTTACAGGATTCTTAGGTATTATGTGAGGGGTAGGTTGAAAGGCTGAAAGTACCAACCTTGCTCCAGAGGGAATAGTGTGTAAAGCCATTTCCTTCCTGAAACTTGGATTTGGGACTGAGAGGCGTGAGAATTGTGCTCTAGGGAACAGCCACCAGGGGGAGCACAATGCACACAGAAGTAACTTGCTTTGCACCCAGAAACCAGGGGTGAAATCTGGAGGCTCAAAGGTGCGGGCTGTTCCTGGGATATGCTGTGTGCTCACCTGGGGTGCGGGAGCTGGGATTCTGGGTGCAAACGAGGGAGCAAGACACTGTTTTCTCACACTCTACCCTTCCAAAGGTTTCGTGTTTTTGATTTGTGCACGTATTACTCCTGCAAATATATGCTTAAGTAGTGTATGTGTGATGTCATCAGGACTAGACCAAGACGCATGGCACCCAGGAGAACAAGCTTCAGCCCAAATTACTTACATAACTGACTGATCTGTGTTTAGGGAAGGGCTGAGTGCTATGAGGGGGAGCAGAGGGAGTTCAGCTTCACCTGGATCCCCTGAAATTCAGTTCAGGCTCCACCTGCAAGCCCTCCAGGCAAAGCATGGTATCATCCACACAGGACCATTTTCCAGCTTTCTGTTACTATCCAAACATATCCCTTGGCCCAAATGACCACATTTTCTTCCAGTGGAACCAGGAATACTATACAGCAGGGAAAAACAAACCACAGCTACACACATCAACATGGGGGCACCACCAGAGGACGAATACAATAAACAGGCCGCAGGAAAAAACATACGAGGTGCTTACTTTATTTGCAGAAAGCCCCAAATCAGGCAAAACCAATATCTTCTCTGGGAATATATCCAGATGTGGCAAAAGTGCTAAAAAGAGCAAGAGAATCATTAAGCAAAACGTTAGGGTGCTGGATATCTTTGGGAGGAAGAACTAAACAAGAAGTGTGGAGAATACGTGATGTCTTATGCTGGGTAGCAGGTGATTAACTTATTTGTTAAAACAAGGCCAGGTGAGGTGGCTCACACCTATAATCCCAGCATTTGGGAGGCTGAGGTGGGAGGTTAGCTTGAGGCCAGCAGTTCAGGACCAGCCTGGGTAACATAGCAAGTCCCTGTCTCTACAAAACAAACAAACAAACAAACAAACAAAAACTGCACCTGTAGTCTCAGCTACTCGGGAGGTGAGATGGGAGGATCATGTGAGCCCCCAGGATGTGGAAGCTGCAGTGGGCTATGATCATGCCATTGCAGTCTAGTCCAGCCTAGTGACAGAGCAAGGCTCTGTCTTGCTAGGAAAAAAAAAAGGCCAGGTATGATGGCTCAGATCTGTAATACCAGCACTGTGGGAAGCTAAGGCTGAGGTTTGAGACCAGCTGGGGCAACGTGGCAAAATCCTGTTTCTACTAAAAATACAAAATATTAGCCAGGTGTGCAAGTGCATGCTTGTAGTTCCAGCTACTCGGGATGCTAAGGTGGAAGGATCACTGAGCCCAGAAGGTCGAGGCTACGGTGAGCTATGCTGGTTCCACTGCACTCCAGCCTGGGCAACAGAGCCAGACACTGTCTCAAAAAAAAAAAAAAAAAAAAAAGTCATCGCTAACGTGTATTACATTACATATACCTTGTTTTACAATATATCATAATAACACAGTATAAAATAAAACTAGAAATAATGCCTTCTGCATGTGTATCTCAGGGTGCAGCCCTGGGGAGATGGAGAAGCTTAGATCTGGGGAAGCTTTCATTTGGCCGTTAGGGTTTGCAGTGTGGTTTTCTAGAAGCTGTAAGGTTGAATGAACTGCAGATGCTCAGCTCAACCCAGAGAACTGCAGCTGGTGTGGAAATCAGGCTTCGTGGTAGAGTGGGAGGCATGACAAGCTGTAGTGAGAGACGTCGGGTCTGGAACACAGTGACTCAAGGCAGAGGACTGTCCCAGGGCACGGGATCCAGGCTGATGCCCAGGTGCCACTGCACCACTGGCTCAGACGCCCCCGTGACCCCTGCAGCTCCCGGGGCTCCTGGGAATGCCACTGGCGGTGCCCCACACTGGGTGGTAGCTGCCTTTGTATTTACCCAGCCATGCCTTGGCTCCCTGAGCACTGGGCTGCTTCCAGCTCTGCCTTCCAGCACCTGTAGGACGCATCTGTGGATGCTGGTGGGCGGGATCAGCCGCCGTATTACCTGCTCTTTGCAGGAAAGCCTGGACTTTTAAGTCCCAGGCCTAGGACCTGTCCCAGTTTGACCGGGACTGAGAAGTTTTTGGGGGACATGGTTTCTCTCAATGTTGAAACTGGAAAAATCCAAACCAGGATGAGTTGGTTGTTTCACCCAGACTTTGGTACTCAAATATAAGGGCTTGGTTTGGCTAGGACTGCTTTTGTGTCGCAGGAGCACTCCACATATCCTGTACGCCTTCTGGAAACCCTCCATTTATTTTGGAAGGAATAGGCATCCCGCATCTCCCAGTGGCAGCTCCTGGGGGCTGCCAGCGTTTTCCTGAGTGACTCTCAGCTGCCTCCAATCTCGCTAAGGGCAGATTAAACTAGTAAAATGAGGCTTGAGAGCAATTAGTCCTCCCTGAAAGGCTGGAGTGAGGATACACGAACATGCTTTTCAGATTGGGGAGTCAACAATCATGGCAGATTTCTGTAACTGAAGGTGGTGGTATTCTTATTGTTTTATCTTCGACTGGCGAGCATCAGACTCACCTGGGGGTCTTCTTAGACTGAGATTGCTGGGCCCCCACCTAGCGTTTCTCATTCAGGGGATCTGGGATGAGGACTGAGGACTGCATTTCTCACAAATGAAGCTAATTCTGATGGTCTGGGGTCCACACTTTGAGAACTGTTGTCACAGTGTTAAGGGATAAAGTCTGGATCAGGGGTTGTCAGACTTTTTCTATAAGGGGGTCACGTAAGAAATATTTTAGGCTTTGTGGGTGATATGGTTTGGATCTGTGTCCCCACCCAAATCTCATGTGGAATTGTAATCCCCAGTGCTGGAGGTGGGGCCTGCTGGGAGGTGATTGGATCCTGGGGGTGGATTTCTCCCCTTTGTTGCTATTCCTGATAGAGTTCTCATGAGATCTGGTTGTTTTAAAGTGTGTGGCATCTCCTTCCTCTCTCTCCCTCCTGTTCTGGCCATGTAGGATGATCCTGCTTCCCCTGCGCCTTCTACCATGATTGTAACTTTTCTGTGGCCTACCTGGAAGCCAGCACCACACTTCCTGTACAGCCCACAGAACCGCAAGCCAATTCAACCTCTTTTCTTTTCTTCTCTTTTCTTTCTTTCTTTTTTTTTTTTTTTGAGACAGTCTCAGTCGCCCAGGCTGGAGTGCAATGGTGCAATCTCGGCTCACTGCAACCTCTGCTTCCAGGGTTCAAGCAATTCTTTTGCCTCAGCCTCCCAAGTAGCTGGGACTACAGGTGCATGCCATCACACCTGGCTAATTTTTTGTATTTTTAGTAGAGATGGAGTTTCACTGTGTTAGTCAGGATGGTCTTGATCTCCTGATTTCGTGATCCGCCCACCTCGGCCTCCCAAAGTGCTGGGATTACAGGCGTGAGCCACTGCACCTGGCCCTAAACCTCTTTTCTTTATAAATTATCCAGCCTTAGGCATTTCTTTATTGCAGTGCAAGGACGGACTAGTCCAGTGGGCCACATGTTCTCAACTACTCAACTCTGCTGTGGTAACCCAAGAGCAGCTAGAGTGCAAATGAGCGTGACTGAGTTCCAATAAAACTTTATTTACAAAGACAGTCAGTGGGCCAGAATTAGCCTCTGGGCTTTGGTTTGCCAGCCTCTGGTTCAGACCGTTAC